TGCCAAAAGTCAAGTCCCTTTTGTAACTCCCCAGCCAGCCTGTCTGCATCAGCAAGCCCTGCCAGCAGACACACCCTTCAACACAAAGGCTGTAGCTATGCCTTTTAAGAGAGGTTCTCTGAAAGCTCCATTGTGTAGAAGAGAGGAAAAACAACACACACAGACACACACACACAAATCTCCCTCTCTCTCTCTCTCTCTCTCTCTCTCCCCCCTGAAAACTTCAGCCCCTTTAGAAACACCACCACAAAAAAAGCTTTCTGCTCTGTGTCCCTTTTGGAAACTTCAGGCTAGCTTTACAAAATAGAAAACCAGAAGGGAGGGCAAACCTGAAGTTCTGAAAAGGATAAGCCTGACTGCTTCAAGAAGTAAAAACACCACCATCCCCATCCCCGGCACTTGCAATTCTTTAAAATGGTGATGCTTTCAGAAGGTATCCTCAAGGATGCTGCTTGTTGTCTAGACAATCTCAAACCAACAGTACCCTTCTTCTGGTACAAAGCAAAACGTTGAGAGAGTTGAGAGATCAGTAAGAGGCTCTGACTAAAAAAATGCTGAAGAAGCCTTTCTAACAGGTTCTAGCTTTAATGTAAGTATGGTCTCTGTCACGGAGGCAGCACCAAGTCATGGAAGAGGTTAATCTTACAGCAGCTGAGAAGAGCAAACATCAGGTACAGCTGAATGGCCTTCAATTTGATGCTTTCACCAAGCATCACACTGAAAGCAGGATGAAGTGTTTTGTAGGGAATTCTGCTCTACTATTTGCACATTTTTATTTAAAATTCAGGCATTGCACAAAGGGGGAGAAAACACAGAAACTGCTAGTTTGAGCTCATATATCAAAAGAAAATGAAATACAATGCATGTCTTTCTCTCTCTCTCTCTCTCTTTTTTTTTTTGGTCGGCATGGGCTATGGAACTCGGAGAGACCCACCTACCCAACAGCAAAGAGCATTTTCAGTGCAGATGTTAATTAATACTGTGTCAAGACACACACCCCAAGCAAAGGAGACAAAGAACAGGATTTGCACATGCATCCACTGTGACCAGCTACGGCAATACCTTCCATACGTGCAAATGACAACACCCTCTACATTTCGTTTGCTTAATAAAACCTGCATTCCATAATTACCTGTATTCTTCAAACAGCACAACAGCAAGACTTAGGGGGGAATGGAGGTGGAGTGTGTGGTGAGAGTGGGGGGTGGGTTACCAAATCTGCTAAATCAAAAGCAGAACAGGAAGTCTGGGGGGAAAAAACAAAACAAAACACAGCCACCATGAAATGAATCCATAAATCCCACAAGTCCTCTAAAATATTCACAGCCAACCTCTTGAGACCACATTGCCCACACATAATGCGACTTACAAAATACCCCTACTAATGTGAGGCTAGCCTCACCAAACATGATAAAATACCATTGTCCAACGACTTTGCGATTGCAATCTTCTCTTAAAGTAGACGGCTGTAATGTTTAATACGGAAAGGAGGTATTCTCACTTCCTTCATGAGGAGAAAACTTCAAAAACACTGAGCGAAAGAGATTCTCAGAGCTACGTAGTTTTAAAGACCTACGGTGGAGCCTCACATCGACTTCTTTTTCTACACTCATGAGTGCATAAGGAGAACATCAGAGACACAGTAGTGTTAGATTTCTTGTTTTTTAAGAACCCAAAACAAAAGATAATTGTGCTTGTTGAACAACAGTCATTACAGCATTTGGCAGCAGCCAAAAGTAGTACAAATCGTTATGGTTAAGTTTGGTCTGACTGCTTCAAAATACAAAATTAATTGTGAAGCCCAAGGCACTGACCTCAAAATTGAGCTCCTGTGGTTGACTACCCATCCGTTGTATTTCGAGACGGGAGTCAGCAGTGCCTCCTCCAAGTCAAGAGCGCGCACGTGCACAACCGCAGCTGGAAAGGTCAGGCGGACCACACACCCCAATGCCAACGGAGACGCCCTACCGTGACGCCGACGGCTGCGGAGGCAGGAGGACGGCCAAGCGCGTCGCCATTTGACCGCGCTCCTCT